TCCTTTAATACTGGAAATGATGTTAAAAATGAAACTAATCGTCTGTCCTTATGTTATTCTGCTAAGGGAAAAGTATATTTTTATGATAGGTTGTATTATGGTAGTTGTTTTATATTGAAAGAGCCTCATTGACACTTAAACCCATAAGGAAAAATGAGTCGTTAGTGGTTAGGAGTATTTGGGAGTAAAGTTTAACTCTAAGTTGGGCTAGTCTCCTTGGCAGACGTATTGCCCTGGGCCTCGGGACCCTTGGGAACTTTGAAGTGTCGGGGATCCAAAAGGGGCATCAATCTTGAGTAAAATTCTCTCCTTAGCCCTTAATTCATTGACACTTATTATTTTTTTAGGCGTTTAGTGTTTAATGACAACGAAAGATTTTCAATATAAATTATTTACCATATATAATCACCACATAAGTATAAGTTCTCATGATATTTGAGCTTTGATAGTTTTATATATTTTCCTTCAATAATTTATTTATGTGTTTGATGCATGATTAAACATATGGAACATATATCTAATGACCTTCTCTTTCTTTTTTTGGACATGTATATTTGTTTGGGCCTGCTGAGTTCCTGAGTAACTCAGGCCCAAGCCCAACCTTGCCATATTTTCAGGGAATCTGAAGTCAGCCGTAGCCACACCTTTTACTGCTGGGCTTGCCTCTTTTAGGCCCAAATACCAGAGTCCAATCCTCTCCTTCTAAACTCCTTTTATTATTTACTGCCTCGTCGCTTTAGTTTACTGCCTTGTCGCACATTGCTGCATCCTTGTTGAAATTTTATCTCACATGTATACAATAATATTGTATTGGATTGAATGCTTTAATTATATCCTATGACATATAAACTTAGGCAAGCCTTAACAACATAGGATTAAAAGAAGAATTATTTAGTAGCTAATCTCCCGCTCGCTAATTATAATTGTTTATATCAATATTATGTTTTTCGTTCACCTTTTTTCTTAAAAGATTTTGAAGCACAAAGCTTAGCAAAGGACGACAACCACACTTTCAAAAGGAAAAATTAGATTAGAAACACAAGCTTTATCTTCAAAAAGGGAATCAAATTATTTCGAAAAAATGAAGTGCTGTCCCCTCAAAGGATTTTCAAAAATAATTTTTTCTTCAAGTCTTCGAATCAAGGTATATTTTAGGCTTACTCCCATCTCATTAGAATAACATACACCTCCATGCTTTAGGAAAGAGCGTTTAAATTTAGTTCTCTTTTTCACATACTTTTTTAAATTCAAACATCCTATACTCCTTTAAAGTTCTTTTCAAGTATATACGTACTAACATTATTTTCCTCTATAAATTCATACCCTTTTAAACTACACCCTCCCTTTGTATGAATTATGTCCTAATATACGATAAGTCATATCTGTAGAACACTAGTTAAGGCATAGTATAAATAATTAATTCTAAATCTAGTCTAAATCCTATGGAGCTACCTCAAGTAGATTTTAAAGAGTGTCTAACACCTTCCCCTTAGAAGAACAAGAACCCTTACCCATAATCTCACCGGTTAGGAGACTAATAGAGAATATGAGTTAATAATTAAATAGGTACCCTAGTATACCTTTAAATATTAGGTGGCGACTCTCTTTCATTAATAACAGAGAAACCACAAGTTGAATTTTGTTTTGATTAGTGCAAAATAGGGTGCAACAACAGTTTCCTTTTTGAATCAATAACTTCTCCGAGAAAGTTAACACCATCGCTATCTTTAATGGATCGAGTCAGTCCTCGTGGAGCGACCTAATATTCAGACCTAATTTTTAACATTTCACACTTGCTCATGATACGCTAAACTCAATTATTACATGAATTTTCAAAATCATATCCAGTTAAATCGTGAAACATGTTTTAAATCAGCATGTAGTGTTCACTTAGTCCCTCTCGATTGTTTACTAAATATTAAGAAAAAAATTTACTAACCAAAAATAAAAAAGAAAAAGAAAGACAATAAAAAAAGATAGAATGCTAATACTCTTTTTTAAAATCATACTTTAATAATTCTTTATATTTTGGATCTCACGGCATGGCCACAGGGCTACGAAGTCACTGCCAAGTAAGGCTATAATAGTTTGTTCGGCAAAACTTCTAAAATCATCTTATTTGAGAAGTGTTTTTTTTAAAAGTATTTTTGTAAAAAATAATTTGTGTTTGACTAATTCTTTTGAAAAGTACTCCTTAGTAGCAATTAGTATTTGACTAAGCTTTTAAAAAATGTTTATAAATGTATTTTTCTCAAAAATGCTTGAGAAGCAATACTCTTTTTCTTCTCCAAAACTGCTTGTGTTTCTACTAAAAAAAAAGTACTTTTGACTTTGTAGAAGCTTGGCCAAAACAGGCTAACTTAGGAAGTCAAGGTCAATGGGCTTAACTGAAATAACAGAAACATTTATGGGCCGTATGTTAAAATATTAAGTTAAGAGGGTCATTGAAGACTTTATTCGTAGATATAATCATCTTAAAAGAACTCATCAAATAGTAACAGCCTTTAGCTGTTAGCGAACCATATAACAGCTATGGAAACTCCAAACACAAATAACGACTACTACTAATCCTCCTATTATTGATTATACAAGTAACAATCTTTCCCAAAAATTTGAGAATATCAATCCCCTATAGCATGTTGTCCGCATGGCGATTAAAGAACCAAAAGATAAACAAATGGCCCTTTCCGGTGAACACGGAAAGGATACCAAATCTACCACCAATCTCATCCCCTCTTTTGATAGCCTAGATCCCACGCCTGTTTTAAACCCACTAAATACTAATCAATTCACTCAAAATGCCAAGAATCCCATCTTCTCTGAGAAGGAGGCACATACTAATCCAAATACTAAGGCAACACTAAGGGTGTAATGTGGGCCGGACCCGGGCCTAAATGGGCCTCGTGGGCCGATCCTAAATGGGATCGGGCTTCGTGGTCCGGGCTTAAACGGTCCCGGGCTTCGTGGGCTTTTGGTAGGAACCGAACTGGGACCGGGATCACGAACTAATGGTCCGGGGCTAAGTGGGCCGGTCCCGGGCCTAAGCGGGCCCAACAGTTCAATTTTTTTTTTTTTTTCAAAAAAAATTGTTATCTAAGGCAATTCCTTGTAAAAACTATATTATATAATTGTGAATTCAAATTTAAACACAAAAATATTGTAAAGAGATATTGTCACGACCCAATTTTCCCTCCGTTGGGTTTCGTGACACCTAGTCTTAGGGACTAGGTAAGTCTAACATTTACTGAATATTAACCATAATAAAGAAAGTCTAGCAGCTTCGACATAGAAATCTTTATAGAATATACTTTTATCCAAAACCGGCGGTACAAGTCATAAGCTCTACAGAGTTTTGCTACAACTTCTAAACACAATTGTATGGAAATAAGTACAACAGTATGAATACAAAATAGGAAGGTGACTCCAAAGCCGACGAACGCAGCAACAGGGTTACCTTGAGTCTCCTCGGCAAGAATTCGCATAGCTACTATCGAACAATACCTTGATCTACAAAAAAAAAATGTGCAGAAGTGTAGTATGAGCACACCACAGCGGTGCCCAGTAAGTATCAAGACTAACCTCGGTGGAGTAGTGATGAGGAACAGTCAAAACACCCACTGGTCTAATAAGCAGAGCAAGTATAAGTATAGAAACAACAGAACATAATATTTATATAAAGACTATGCGATATGGCTAACAACACAATAATTGCAATAAGAAAAGAAAACAACAAGTAACACCGGAACACCATGATGAGAACACAGAAAAGTGAACGAAAGTACAACCCAAATCCGAAATCACAAATATAGCAAAGACAAGTCATACTCAGCAACTACGATAATTTTTCACATTGGTCTCAGCTAGCAAACTTCAATCGATTAGTCAAATCCTTCAAGTAATAAAAATGTTTCGAAATATACGTCGTTCAAATAAATATTTTCCAAAAATAGTTCTTTCGAAGTAATTACCTTTCGAGTATAATCTTCTCAAATAAGTAACCTTCGAATATAAGTCACCCTGTGACAACTCATCTCGTAATCATACAATATCGGTCTCAATACCTGAACCCTAACACTTGGCATCCTGTGCCCTCATCACACCACATAATCATACTGATAACTCACGTACCAAATAGAGACATTCTCACATGGAAGACAATAAACAAGGGTGTACGTCTATACTCGACAATACCAAGAAGCCTCCTATCCGATTAGGGTGCTTAGCCCCGTATATGCTTGTGCAAGTTTCCTAACATATTTCATACCAGCTAGTAAGTATAAGGAATAGAACGGACAACACATATAATGTTTACACATGGATAGGATCAATGAAAACCACATCTCAAAACACAGTGATTTTAATAGGGGATCTCCCAGGATATTGTCCCGTAGTCCCAAACGTAAATGTGTAGAGGATCTCCTGTGATATCGTCCCGTAGTCCAAATCGTAAATATGTAGGAGCATATCCCGGAATACTGATCCGTAGTCCCAAAGTATATATTCAGTACAAGGAGATTTCCCGGGATATCGTCCCGTAGTCCAAATCGTAAATATGTAGGAGCATATCCCGGAATACTGATCCGTAGTCCCAAAGTATATATTCAGTACAAGGAGATTTCCCGGGATATCGTCCCGTAGTCCCAATTATAAATGTGCAGTAGTCCTAAAGTAAACATGCAAGGGGATCTCCCAAAATACCGTTCCGTAGTCCCAAAGTAAATACGCAGCGCAACCAACAGAAACAACAGTTACAGCACAACAGAAAACTCGTGCATCACCACAATACGTATAACAACAACAATGACAGTAACACTTCAGCTTTGAAAAAAAAGTACTTTTGATTTAGTAGAAGCTTGGCCACAACCAGCTAACTTAGGAAGTCAAGGTCAATGGGCTTAACTGAAATAACAGAAACATTTATGGGCCGTATGTTAAAATATTAAGTTAAGGGGGTCATTAAAGACTTTATTCCTAGATATAATCATCTCAAAACAACTCATCAAATAGTAACAGCCTTTAGCTCTTAGCGAACCATATAACGACTATGGAAACTCCAAACACAAACGCCCAAAAACGCCCGTGCAAACGCCTCCTATTTGACCGGCGCTATGGTTGGGTGTAAGTCTATTCTCTTTTTTTTTTTTTTTTTTTT